GGGGGGGGGCCCAAAAAATGTGGCTGCCTATGAGCCTCTGTCTTGTTCACAAAATTTATTCTTTGGAGGGTTTATGGGGACAGATTTTATAGTTTGGTATCTCCACAGATTTTGCTTTTCCAGAACACAAATCATAAAAATTTTGTTTGGATCGGCAAGTTAAGGCCTATTTATACTTGCAACGATAATAATACGTCTGTACGATAAAATGCTAAAACACTATTGTTCATAGAAAATAAATGAAATAAGAGAAGTTTTTGCACTAGAACAATTCGATATTAAATGATTTATCATGTATACGATAACAAAATATTTTGACCAATCAATTGAAGTGACATAGTGTCATAATCTTTGAAAAAACGATCAAATCGTAGTAGGAACATCGATTTTATAGATCGTTGCAAGTATAACAGGCTTTTAATATTTTTTGGCTACGGTCATACTACAGCCTCAAACCAGCTGGCTTGACTTCTAGGCTACGGTCACACTAGAGTCTAAAGCCTGGCTTGACTCACCGTGGGTGAGATTTTCGTAATGTGACTGCACCTGGATTGAATCGCGCCTGGCGTCATCTTGATCTCAATCTACCTATCTCGATCCCGGCTCAGCACCCAGATTGACCCTGGATTGACCCTGGCGTGACCGGGATTGACATTTCTTCGTCGGCTGTCGACCAATCACAGTCGATGACGCTGTTGCGTTTAGAAGTTCTTGAATAAAAAACCCGCGAGTTCTTCATGTGTGTATTATAATAAGATGCAATCATCAGTTGTCTTTTATAAATGCACATCAATCCGAAAACTAGCATCGCCATTACATCCGAGCCTAGGCCTAGGCCTAGATCATCTAATATACTGTCCATTTTCATAGGTCTGTGATCTACATCGATTATCCTAACCAGCAACGGTAGTAATGCGATTAACGAAGTCGGGTGCATTTTGAACGTGATCTCAAATTTGTTGTAAAATTGAAATAATAAAAAGCATAGAATTGATCAGCATGTGTTCGTATTCGATTTCAAGGAAGTAAAGATCGACCGAAAGAATGTTTCGCGCGCGGGGCCGGTATTTTGATTGTGGCGGCACTCTAACTTCCTGTTTCAACTTTCCTAATTTGGAGGTCAATCCAACTAAATTCAGGTAGTGTGACCGACACAGAATTTCGAGCCTGGCTTGAAATCTCACCCGCGGTGAGTCAAGCCAGACTTGAGACTCTTAGTGTGGCCGTAGCCTTAGTACGGTTGAGAAATTTGTAGTCTGAACCAACCCGGATCGACCATGGATTGGAATTGCTCTCAACCCAGACAGGTCAACCCAGGCAAGGTATCAAGATTGACGCTAGGTTGACCTGGGTTGACCTTGGATTGACCTAGAATTCCAAAATGTGACCAAGGATGTAGGTCAAAAGTTAGGTCAACCCAGGTGAGTGGACACTGGACATTTTTATGCCAGGCATGAGAGCTCAACTATACCGAGTCAATCAGTGTGACTGTATAGCCACTGCAGCCTTGTGATGTCGGGCCTATCGCCGCCACTGTATCCATATTAAAAATTGATTTGACAAATTCATGAATACTATATTTTTTCACTAGAGGAAGTAGTTCAATTAAATCAATATTTTATACTGTAGTCTATCTTGGAGTACAGTAAAAAATGTGTTATCGTTGGTTGAATTCCTTTCATGAACCACAGTCATACAAATTTGAATTTCATCATAAGGATGTATTCATGTGTAAACTTCATTCAAACAAATAACTTTACAATTGAAAACAGATAAAACGTGATTGTTCATACATTGTGTGTACTGATTGAACTGTAGCAATCTTTAGGTCCCCAATTCAATTTTGCATTTGCTTGTTCTTGTGTTTCAGCTGGAGGGCTGAAATGCAAGTTACGATTTATTCGGTGTAAACACCAAGGATAGCCCATGAAAGTCTAGAAGTAGACTTATTTCCAGTGGGGTCCTTCTGGTGGTGATTGGACAGTACACCGAGAGACAATCCCCTACTCTTTTCCGAAGAGTGTACTGCGTTCTTTAACATGCACATGGGCCATACTGTAGATGCACACAGGACCAACAGCTTAAACGTCCCATCCGAAAGACGGTGCACTATTGTAAGTTGCCCTCTAGCTGAAACACAAGGAGAGGCAGCGATGAGAATTGAACAGGGGACCTAGAGATCTCCATGGTTCAGCGCACACACAGTGGCTACCACCAGATTAGCCGACTGAGCTAAGCTGCTCTCTCGTAGAGAGACTAAGTCTTCTTAGACATTTGTAGGTTATCTTTGGTGTTTTACACTGAATAAACCTATCCATACAATATACAATTTTAAGTTGGGCTCCAGAGGAAAAAAAGTGTTTTAATATGTTGTAGAATTGATTTTTCTAAGACGGAGAGAAGTCTTTAGATGAAAAACTTGGGAACGGTTGAGATACAGATTTTTAAATATTTAAAAACTTGGGGGAAAAGGGGTGTTCCACCCTTTTTTCCACTTTCCCCTCTCCCACCCCAGTTTTCAAATATTCAAAAATCTGTATCTCACTACCATTCTCAAGTTTTATGTCAAACAACTTTTTTTCTCTCAACATGCATATCAAACATTGTTGAATTTTCTGTTTTTTTTTTGTTTTTTTTTTATATAAGTATGTTCTTTTTCTCTATGGTAGCTGCCATGTGGGCAGACAGTCTGCAATGGCAGACAGTCAGCAATGGCGTCATTTCTCCTAAGTTGGGCCACACCCACCTCAGTGCCAGCATGGTTGGGACTGATGTTTAAAACAAAAGTGGTTTTTATATGACCTCCATGGCATCAGTAGTAAAATAACACAAACAGATATTACGGCAAATTCTTCAACCTCCGACCTCAAAATTGCGACTCAAATCTTAACATGTGCGCAGGCACCTTCCTTGTGACGTTTTAAGGAATGGAGACAATGACTGAAGTCACATTACACATTTGAAGCGGTTAATGTAGCGTTGCGTGACTCACTGCATGTTATGTGTTTTCATTTAATTAATGTTGTTATCATCAGTTGTTAGCATGGTACATATGTGTTATAAATTTACAATTTAGGCACCCTGTGCATTATTGACACTTTAAATTGATCACCATGTTGGTGATGTGTTTACCACCCCCAACCCCCCCCCCATCCCACTTATAAAAAAAAAAAAAAATGTGAAATAAGTAGCAATAAAAAAGAAAACAGTTTGAAAGCTGGAAACATCCATTTTAGTAGTATTGATTTTGCTCAAGGCCATGAAGGATAATGCTAAACAGCGAACCTATAATAGCCACTAGATAGTGGCTATGATCCCCCATTAAGGGAGTCAAATTGTTTTAAAAGTCTTGTACCAGAAAATACTGATATTCTTTAACCAAAGCCTATGTACAAAGTCCAGGATCCTTTTTTTTAGATGGTTTTCTGATATACAGTAAAGTCAGATGGTTTTAAAATGTACCAAAAAAAAAAAAAGAAAACATACATACAGCATTTAATTGTTATAAAGTTGCTTTGCTCAAATCAAACAAGTCAGTGTTTTATGTCTTTTCAAAAAAACCTTTTTGTGAACTGTAATTGCTCAAAACTTTTAAGTTTTAAAAATACAAATAAAAAAAACCATAGACAAAAAATTATAAGATATACAGTGTATAATTGTAGAACGGTATGCAATGTACTGTATCTACTGTAGAACACAGTAGGTCAGCTAGAATGTGGTGTGGATTTGAGCTAAATGTTTGTCCTGCATCAAGTTCAGCCAAGCCTTACATAGCTTACTTCATTCATGTATTCAGTACTTATAATAGAGGGATTTAGCGATGGGCGTCATGTGACCTAACTTGGGTGTTGGATATAAACAGTCCACTGACGCAGCGGTGTTTTACATGGAGATTGCTGTCGCGCCCGTCCCTTGTTTATTGCTAAAGATCATCATAATTCCCAGTAAACTATACCAAATTGATTGGAAATTAAACTTAAGAATTCTGCCTTAATTGTTTGCTAATGCTGTAAAGGATACTGACAAACATTGAGATTTTTCGACAAATGTTAGGCCCAGGCCCCTGCACATCTACGGCATGGTTAGGTATGCATGGTGGTCTTCGACCCACGAACTTATGCTACGAAATTAGGGCTAGCTAAGGTTTATAAAGGATCACTTATATTTCAAAGCATACAATCCAAGGAGAACGCTAGGATAAGTAAATAAACACTATCTTGAATAATCGTATTGCCTTTCCTAGCCATGTGCTTCTCACGTTACCAGTGGGTGGTTGTTTTCACAACCATAACATTATCTTTTCATGCTTTCGCACTTTATGTTTTTCATGTATACCCAAGTTAGGTCATGTGACCGCCTGTAAACAACCATCGCTAAATCCCTCTATTAGACACCATGTTATCGTCTGGCAGTGCTTCCTGTAAGAGCGAGTAAATCCGGTGGAGGTGCATGATGGGTACTACTACCATGAGGTATGGGGCGCGCCCTAGAAATCGAATAGAGTTCAGAACTCGAACAAAAGTGCGTTTGAAACTCGAACGTGCATCATAGAGACGCAGCACGTGTTCGATGAGAAAGCATTTTACTGTCTTTTGTAGGGCGCACTCTTTATCGTGCTAGTACTTTTTCGAGATACAATAATAGGAGGATTGCGTTTTAAAGACATAACCCCAAGATCGAGAATCTTTGGTTTTACCTAAACGTCTGAAACCAAGACATGTGCAGAAGTCAAGGATTACGAACTTCTCAAACCAAATCCCCATGCAGATAATTGAGTAAACATAATAGAGTATAAGGCAAACACACGCTCCCGCTGGGAGCCGATTTTTATTTAGATGTAAAATATATATTGTTAATTCTGCAAGCATTATTGTATTGCATTGTAAAGTGTTTTATTTTTCCACGTTTTGTACAGTGAGCATGGCAAGTCTGAATGTCCCGAACGTCTCACCAAGATTCATAAAAAACTGAAAGATTATGGACTGCTTGACAGATGTGTGCAAGTGCAGGTAAGAACTACACAACACTACACAACACTACAACTACACAACACTACACTACAACTACACAACACTACACTACAACTACACAACACTACACAACAACTACACAACACTACACTACAACTACACAACACTACACAACAACTACACAACACTACACTACACTACACAACAACTACACTACACAAAGAGCAGCCTAGCTCAGTCGGCTAATCTGGTGGTAGCCACTGTGTGTGCGCTGAACCGTGGAGATCTCTAGGTCCCCGGTTCAATCCCCATCGCTGCCTCTCCTTGTGTTTCAGCTATAGGGCTGAAATACAAGTTACAATAGCACACCGTTTTTCGGATGAGACGTTTAAGCCGTTGGTCCCGTGTGGATTATGGCCCATGTGCACGTTAAAGAACACCGTACACTCTTCGGAAAAGAGTAGGGGATTGTCTCCCGGTGTACTGTCCAATCACCACCAGAAGGACCACACTGGAAATAAGTCTTCTAGACTTTCGTGGGCTATCCTTGGTGTTTACACAGAATAAATCCAATCCAATCCAATCCAACCATTCTGGCCTAGCTTCGTATCTGATTAATATACATTCAATTCTTAACAATGAAGTTTGTTTTTCTTCTCGGTGTTGTAGAGTTTCATTGTGCCATTTTATAGTACATTAGTGAAGTAATATGGACCTGTATTTAAGCATATTTTTAATTAGATTAATGGTCGTCATTTTTCAGGCAAGACTGGCCAGCAATGAAGAATTATTATTTTGTCACAGGTGAGAGCACTTTATATTCTTATAATTTTTATAATGTGGAATTGTAAAGTAATTATGTATAGATACTAAGTAAACATGTAAAAATGTTTACTTATCACACACATATAAGATAGGATATTGATAATACTTATTGGTCCATACTTATAAATGCAGGTTGGAAATTTGCTTTCCATATGGCATGTACATGTAAATATAAATGCATACGAAACATTAAAATATTCATCACAAAATGTAGGTTTAAAAATAGATAAAAATTCTGTACATTTAATATTCACACACAAATATATAAAAGTCTCTCAGTCTGGCAGATTTAAAAACGTTTTCAATAATGAAACAATTATGTTAGTTAAAACATGAATATTTTAACTCCTAAGATAAAAAGGATGAATAGTAGCTAGATAATAATTTATTTTTTACAAGCAAAGCACTGAGATAAAAAAAAAAAAAAATCCACTCCAATTATTTCAAGATCTTGTTAAGACCACTATTTTTTAGAGGCTGAGTGGTGAATATAAATATGACTAAAAAAAAAGTAGAACTGAAAAGTATACTTTGATAGTAAATAGATATGCAATTTATTAGATCAGATATTTTGAGCAACTCCTGTGCATGTTTTTTTTTGTGCATGTTTTGTAGTATATGTGTGTGGATGTGTGTGTATACAATTGTTATTGTTGTTAACTTATAGTTAAGAGACAGATCCGCTATTGCTACATTACTTTTATTCTTAATTCTATTTGTAGTCAAGATTATGTTAACAAAATGCGTTCTACAGCCACAATGGCTCTGGACCAAATCCAGGAACTTTCAAATACCTATGACTCTATCTTCATTTGCAAGGTAAGTCAGACTCTGTTTACCAGTACTTTGTTATTAATGCAGAACTCTGTAAACTACTGTGCTTTTAATGTTTTCTTTATATTGATCCATATACTTGATTCATTCGGAACAAATGTAATCGTAGTGAGAAAGTAACCTGAAGTCATGAAGCTGCAGATTTTCCCGAGAGGCAGGCCGTGAATATCAACACATCTTAATTTAACAACATATCTGCACATAAAATCTCTCTTTTCTCTTCTTGCTGCTACCATAAATATCTAAATTTAAGATAGACTTAGTGCATCAAAATATTAACATTTATAGTATTTTTCTATATTATAATATTATGATATAGAAAAATAAAGCCATTACATTATTTTAAAGAAAAACATTTATTGTATTAATTTTAAATGTTCGTTATATGAAGCTTGTCATCTCAAAACCAGCGTACCGTCGCTAATTGTTAAAATGAGTAATTCGCATAAAAATATGGAGCTGTATAATATTCTTACTCATGTATTTGGTAGTCGATTCCGGTATGACCTATAATTTTAATGCTTTATAATGTGGAGAATATGAATAAGTGACCGGCTCTGAAAAAAACCCTCCGTTTATCGCAATTTATAATATCCCACAAGTACCCAAAATGTTCAAGAATCAGAATTTTGAACATTTTCATGTTTTTTTTTTTTTGTTTTATAAAAGAAGATATATTAAATCAATCACTAAATCTAACTGAAAAATATATTTAAACTAGATCTTAATAACAAACTATATATTTTGGAAGCTGTTGAAACTGTTTTCACAAAATCTACATGACTGATATTCAATGATTTAAATATTCATAACTTTGCAAATACTCAACCAATTTTCATCAAATAAACACCGTCTTAAAGAAGACGCCACACAGAATCGAGAAACGCCAAAAACTATAATTTTGGATTTTTCCTACAAAATGGCTGTTTTTGCCAGAGCAATTTTTATGTTTCATTGATACTTGTTTTGGCATGTCAAGCCCCGTATATTTTTATTTCTTCTTTTTTTTTTTTTTTATTATTTATGCCAGAGACATGTCACTACTTGAAGGAACTTTATGAGGCTTCGGGATTGAAAGTTTTACGTAAAAACCAAATATCCTTAAAGAAATTGAAGGCAAGCTATATTACACAGTAATCAATCATCGCTCATACAATGTACCTTTTGCAAAAAACCTGTATTTTAAATATACATTTACAGTAGTTTATTTCTTTCCACAAAAGTACAATGTGAATACAACACATTAAATAGCAATCACGACATAATGAAAATTAAGTTAAAATGGAAAAAAAAATTTAAAAAATTGGAAAGTTATAATCATTAGACATAGTATATGCTCCTTAATTCCAATTTACAACTTTCATCAGTTGGATTTAAATAGAGAGAAAGAGTGAATTTACTCTGTATATTAAGGTTCTTTGATATTTTTTTACCATTTATGAAAAATGAAAGATTATTGTAAAGAAGACTTTAAGCAGTTTTTAAGAGTTTTTAAGTCATCAAAACGTAGTAAGGATTTGTATTTCCAAAGTTGACGTCAAATGTACTCATGGCTTGGACTGGTTCTACGGAAAACAAAGATAAAAAATGTTGGATCATCGTAAAAAAAAAGAATTCTTACAGTTTTTAAGTCAGTAATGGAGTAAGGGATAGCTAGTGTATCCTGAGGTGACGTCAAATATAAGCTTGGACTGGTTCCACAAAAAACAAAATATTGGATGGGTGCAATTGGCTTAGCTTGGTCCAGCTAAAGAGAGTTTAATAGAGGTAAAAAATATTTAATGAAAGTCATAAAACTTTTAAATATTTATTTATTTTTTATTCTGGTATGCCTTTGCAAAATAGTAGCAAATGGCAAAAATATTTGCAATATAAAAAGGTAAAAATGAATTAATACAGACATAAAAAAAAAAAAAAAAAAAAAAATAGACATAGATTATACAAGCATGATACAAATTATAGATTAACCGCCATAAAAAAAATGATAAATAAAATCATTATGACCAAATATTGTCATAAGTTAATTATTGAAATATAAATAACCATTTTAATGGTTTTATACTTTTTTTTTGTACTTTAAAAAGTACAATATAATTTTTTTTTAAAGTACAATATACTTTTTTTTTAAAGTACAATATACTTTTTTTTTAAAGTACAATATACTTTTTTTTTAAAGTACAATATACTTTTTTTGTACTTTAAAAAGAAAGTACAATTTCCTTTTTTTTTGTACTTTAAAAAGTACAATACAAATAACCATTAAAAATACATAATAATTTTATATACACACAGCAATAAAGTTATTTTATAAATATTATAATTAATTATTGTTGATTAATTAATGATAATATATAATTAATTAATTATTGTTATCATGAATCAATTACTCAATAAAAATAATTTTGAAGATGACTATATATTATTATTATTATTATTATTATTATTATTATTATTATTATTATTATTTTACAACCATAAAAAAACTTAAGGGGAAAAAAAAAATAATTGGCATCGAAATAGCAAAAAAAAACAAAAAAAAAAAACCCAAAAATATCAACATCAAACAAAATCAGGATATTAAAAAAACTGACAATAAATCATAAAGCGAAAAGGTTATAAAATATATTTGTATTTGGTGAAGCACCCTCTATATGTTATAAAGAATACCGCAAAAGTAGTTGAAGTACTTTCGGCGTCAACGGCTAACCACGCTCAGTTCAAAAAGTAGGGTTAGCATGGGTTTAGGGTTAGATTAAGTATTACTTTTTTGGTCAGTCTTTTTTTTTCATGCTATAAATGTTAAGCACGTAGAGGTCTCCATATGCGTTCTATAAGTTAAGCATTATTATTATTATTATTATTTATCTGTTTGTAAATATCACCACAAGATATGCTATAGTTTGTCTCTGCTTTATGTCATGATGTTTTTTTTTTAAATTTTTGTACACTTTTCTAACAGATGTGTGTGTTATTTTAGAGTGCAATATAAGCATAGGATTTTAATATAGCCAAGATAATAATGAAATTTAATTGAAATGAACTTATTTGTTTATTTGTTATTTGATTTACACCCAAGGCAAAGAAACAGCGAATCTATGACTTTCCTTCTAAGTGGCAAATCCGTTATACTGTCTCATATATACAGTAAGGCTTTTTAAAAGAAAATGCAGTTCCTGTTGATAATGAAATTGAATTGAAATAAAATTTATTCGTTTATTGATTTAGGCCCAAGGCAAAGGATATGCCAAACAGCGAACCTAATCACTTTTCTAAGTGACAAATCGCTTCGCAAGATGCACCACGTATTAAAGTCTCATTATGAGAGTTTTTGAAATAGATATCCTGTATACCGTAACAGGGATTGAACCTATGACCCTGGGATTGGAAGGCCAGCATCTTAACTATGAAGTTATCCAACTCCACTCCAACCTTGCATCCATAATGGAATCTGGTTTGAAAGCGTCAATTCAGGATTGTGATAAGAGCTGCTTGCTTAACAATATTTTCTTCTATGTTTCTCCGGAGATTGGCGATCTCTTTTTTTTTTGGTTGTAATATGACTCTTATCTGCAAATAAAGGGAATTGATGTAGTAATACAATATAGAATTCATTACTACTACATCGCTACTGTAATTACACAAGTGGGCTTGGAATGGTCATTGTCAAATTGGGAAAATCATTGCTCTTTTTTAATAGCTTACACAAAGCAACTTTGGTAGCATGAATAATTATAATAATATTTACATTATTTGAATAATTTCATCTGGTTTGCTCATAATGACTATAGAACTGTTTTTAAAATAACAATAAAACAAGCAGTAAACTTACTGCAAGCTTTCGTCTATGTTCCCGGTATTCAACCCCGGGCCAGCGGGTCAACTCGGGCCTGCCAAAGATTTTGATCCGGCCCGCGCAACATTGCTGAAGATAAATAATTTTCTGGCCGATATTTAGAAAAAGTTCTTCTGTATATAGAACACTACCAGACACCACTACTCTAGCATTGTTTACAAGAGCCTGTGGCTTTTTGAGTGTAGCACACTGCATCTAGTGGCGTAGGGTATTGACATGGGGAGGGGAGACTAATGGGGTTAATGAATTACAGTATGTGAGGGTTGATATGATGCAATGTCTAACCATTTGCAGCACCAGCATGCTCGGGGGCTTGTTACTCTGTTAAAAACACTGCTCCTAAAATTTATTTTTGTGTCTGAAAGTGCAATTTTCAGGAATGTAGGTATCTGTTAATAATTTGCTCACCTCAAAGCCAACCACTGGTGAGTGGATATATTTGTGGCAGGAAAGTTTCTAGTGGCAGGTAAGGAGAACCTGGGGCACAAGTTTTTTTTTTTTTTTTCAAAATTCTAACATAAAATGGAGAAGAAAAGAAAATTATAATCAAATTTCAGTATCAAAGTGCCATTTCCGACTATCTAGAGGTGCGATAATCGTACATTTTCTTACCTCAGCCCCAACTATGGTGGGGCTGAGGTGGTATTTTCCCCTATCTCTGAAAGTTCTTTCCTGGCCCCTTCTACAGTATTTCTAATCCACCGCTATTAAATAGAATGGGTGACAAAGAAATTGACTCAATTTATGTCGGTCTGCCGCTGGTTGAGTACCCGGGGTCTATTATCAGCAACGGATGCCTTTCTCACATAACCTAATCAAGTCATGTTGATGGACGAAAGCATGCAGTAAGTTTACATCAAATAAAATTGTGCTTGGTTTATTATTGAATAAACAGTTCTACATATATGTACATTCTTATGCTCTACAACACTGTCTCTGAATGCTTTAGCACATTATTATCTTATCCATTGGAACGATGCCTATGGGGGAATTTCCTTGGTATCCATTTATCTTTCTGTGTGGAGAGAAACGATGCGCATGTGCCTTGCAAAGGACAGAAGTCACACCTTGTAAATTACTGTACCTTTTTCTGGAGGTTACATTTACACTAGACACAATAATGACACCACAAGGACACGATAAAAATTTGCTCAGTGTTGAAAAATATAAACAATGCGATATGTTGTCGTGTGGTTATCTTGTCTAACGTATTTTATGTAGCTTTATACTTTTAGATGCAATATTTATTTTTTTTTTCTTTATACTGAATATACACTTTCAATACATAGTACTGGTTTCCAAAGTGGCTCAGTTCTTAACTACAAAATTTTAAAAGCAGATATATACACATAGTAACCAAAAAATATTAATAACTTGACTACAAATTAAAAAAAATTTAAAAGGAACATTGAAAGAAACTTAAGAAAATATAAAATTTAAATAATAAATATGGATATGCAAGGTAAGAGAAAATCATGTTAAATTAAGATGGTATTATTGAGGATTAGAAATAGAATGCTTAAAGTTTGAAAGTGTCATAGATTTAAAGTTGGTTTTAGTATGATCCGGGAGTTTATTCCATAATTTAGTAGATCGGTATACAAAAGTTCTTTTACCTTGCATATTATTCCAGGTGTATTCAATTAGTGTATTTTTACTTTGACTGCGAGTACAATAGGCTATTCCCATTTTGATAAATCTGTAACACACTGCTCCGTACGGTTGTCGCCAACGCAATTCCATAGAAAACGCAATGTGATGATGTGTGCACAACAGACGATGACGATCCACGCTGACTGCCACCGACAATCAGCAGATGGTGTTGTATTGTCTAACTCTCACAGAGAGCTGAACTGCAATGTGTTGTACGCAGTCAGTGGCGTATCTAGGGGAGGGTGCGGGGGCGCATGTCCCCCAAAAATAAAAAAAAAATCACCGTCAAATAATTAAAATCACCGTATTTTGCGAATTAGCGCACATCAACTAATCATCAAGCCCTCCCACTTCACATTCGCGCCCCTCCATCAGCCCCCCATTTCAAGACTTCTAGATACGCCACTATACGCAGTGTGTCCCAACTTTATTTCTGAACATTATTTATAATGAGTTTAGATGTGCCTGAAACTCATTTCATTTCAGAAATTGACTTAAAGTAGTAAAATACCTTTAACATTAATAAACAGCAGGCTACAGTATAACAACACATGAATGTATCAGAAAATAAAAAAGATGAATAGTCATAGGTTTCCTAACAAGCGACATACATCTCAACATTAAAATGGGTTAACACTGTCACTCAATTCCTTATAGACAGTGATACTTGAAAGTAGTAAAATACTTTTAACACAACAGGCTACAATATATCAACACATGAATGTATGAGAAAAAAAAAAGGATAAAGAAACATAAGTTTCCTAACAAGCGACATACATTATTTCTGAATATTAAAATTGGTTAACGCTGTCACTCAATTCCTTTCAGATTGTGACTTAATACTTTAAAGTAGTAAAATACATGTATAAAATAACAACAGTCTGCAATAATGTATCGGAAAAAAAAAATAAAGGATTATAGAGACACCGGTTTCTAACAAGCGACATAGATCACTATTAAATATATATCCCACCTCTTCGGCGTGAAAAGAAATTCCATTAAAATTAGGAATTCTTTTCAGAGAGTAGTGACTGTAATACTCAAAAGTAGTAAAATACACTGTAAAAAATAAAAACAGGCTACAATATAACAGCACATGAATGTATCAGGAAAAAAAAATCAGTATTTTAGACAGAGGTTTCTAACAAGTGACATAGATCACTATTAAATATATATTCCACCTGTTCAGCATGAGAATAAATTCCATTAAAATTATGCTTTAGATAAAACATAACAAAAAAAACATTCAGTGATAAATTACAAATTAAATTTTACTAGGTTTTTTTTCAACACAGACAGCTGTACAACTAAGTTTAAACTGTGAACATAATGTTTTTTAGATAGTAAGTTTAATAGTAACTTGTGGAAGCAGTTTGGCGCAGCAAGAATGGTTTGCTTTTTACAACATTGAGGTCATGGTTTCAATTCCTGGCTGTAAATTTTGCTTGTGTCCTTGAACAACTGGCAGTTTCTACTTGCTTCTCTCCACCCAGGAGTATGATTTGATGCCTGTTGGGTTTGCCTGCTCCTGCACCAATATGGCAGGCTCAACAACACATTAAAGCAACTACCCAATGATCATCGAGAAACTTTGAGCGCTGCGTATCTGTAAAGAAAGGCGCTGTATATAATGACCAGGAGATATTAACTTATTTATTAGGCTTTTTGTCTGCTGTTTGTATCTAGAGTTTATTTATTTATTTTTTTAATTAACATTATTTATAGAACTGATACAGCACATGTATTCATTTCAAAAGTTCATGCCCATTATAGATTTTTTTTTAATGTTCATTGGATATAGAATAGTCTACTTTCAACATTACATGCCCCCCAGGGAGTATTTCTAATCATGCATGTAATTTTATACAACCATATTTGAATCATTAAACTGTCTACCAGGCACCCATTTATATTCCTCAGTGAAGAGACGCAAACATAGATACAAATGTACAAGGACACAAACCCAGCAGCCAACTTCGGCCTTGAACTTGTATCGTTTTGATTAAAATCAAGAGCTTTATTGCTGCGCCGAAGGCTTCCTTTAATTTCTAGCAGCAGTTTACGAGAGATTCCAAAAAAAATTATCGATTCTATCCATATTTTTATATTTTATATTTATTTATATTTCAACAGGATACATTTGTAACTGCTTGCTTAGCAGCTGGCTCGCTTATTGGTCTTACAGCAAAGGTTGTCAGTGGCGAGGTTTGTACAGTATTGATATTTCACTATTTTTTTTTTCTTTTATATTTTTATTCACATGATCCATAACAAGCTTATTCACGTTCAAAGTTGCATTAATTTTCCAAAGCCTACATACATGTTGCTCTATGTTACTAATACACAAAGACAGAATTAGTCGCCAAACCAAAGCAGTTATAGCTGTTATAACATCAAAACAAACCGCTATGTGACAGTTTTTTCACACAATTAAAGCTTCTGCTCAAGTAAATTTTGACAGTTTTTAAACTTGCCTCAAACTTATGTATTTATACATTTTATCTTAAAATAACTTACTGAAAAGCCTTGGTAAATATTTCTTTTAATTAACGTCACAGTATTGACCCGTTAGATTTGAAATGGATTGAAAGAAACAAATGGAAAACTTGAACATTTTTGCATAGCCTCGTCGCGTGAACACGGGCCTAGCCCTAGACTAGAGAGTCATACAATGTTCTTCTGAATAATTGGCCATCTTTAGTCAAAAGAAACATCTTATTCTACCATTCAGCAATTTAAGTTTGTCCAATAGTTTAAATATTTGATTCAAAAATTGCAACAAGATGACTTTGTGACAGTATTTAGCCTGAATATGTACCTCTAAATCAACAGCGATCACCTTAGTCAGCGCAGAATGTGCCGAGTCCAGTGAGCGACGGGCCTAAGCCCCCTAGAAGGCCTCTCAAAATTCTTCATATTTTTAGTCTGAATGCAAATTTAAATCAAATCAACCTTAATTGCATGAATCTACTGTATGAATTGTTCAAAATGTTTAAATATTATAACTAGATTTGAACTCGTCACTGAGGACGAGTTAGGTGATCCGCTTGTCAGGCAAAAGAAATCTCGCAGCGCTCAAAAGTGAAATATGGAAAAATACTGTGGTCAGGATTTTCAAACTGTGCAGGAAAATATCAAGTCATCCGCTCTCTCGTGATCGTCAAAAATTTAAAGAAAGAGGTGGGGAGAGGTTAGAAAAACATTTATTTTCACCATGATGGCGTCATCAAAGTGAAAAATGAGGGAAACATTGTGAAAGGAAATTGTCTCAGCTATAACGTGCTCGACGGTGGGAGACAATCGATAAAAAAAAACGAGATACGTTCAAATATGTATAAAAATACATAAATAAAAATTCAGTTTTTAAAATTCAAATGGCAATATGATGACATCACAATGTCCGATCAGCCATAATGATATATAAAGTGATAACTACAACTCATGAGCTTTTAGAATATGTAATAAAAATTTTTGGAGGAGGGTCACCATTCATCCTAAGGAGCTATAACTGATTAAAATTTAGGCATGATTTTGAGCATTTAAAAATTTTGACGCACGCGTACGTGCACGTGATGACATGCGCACGGAAAATGAAGTTACATGACATTCAACCTTGATCTGAAGTTCATGTCCACTGAATATGATTTAGAAATGAAATGTTAGGATGATATGGGTCATCAAATATTGGAGCAAAGAAAAATGAGGGGGGTCAGAAAAAAACATTTATTTTGACCATGATGACATCATCAAAATGTAAAAAAAAATTTTTGAAAGGAAATTGTCTCAACTATAATATACTCAAAGTTCTGAGATGATCGATCAAGAATTAAAGCCAGGTACGCTCAAATGCATATTTTCAAAAATGACGTAGATAAAATTCAGTTTTTTAAAATTCAGATGGCAGTATGATGATGTCACAATGTCCGATCAGCCATTATGATCTATAACATCATATCTACAACTCATGTGCTTTCAGTATAATATGCGTATATTGATGCACGCATTAGGTACAAGTGCTTTTTTACATTCTTTTAAAGGCCACCCTCTAATTGTAGTAGTATTTTTGAGATAGGATCCCGTTTCAGGAAATCCTTGACAATCGGACTTCTTGCTATGTTATACTCTTTTGTAATAATTTGACCACTAAGGTCAAAGTACTAAATCTAGGTTCTTAAAGTCCTTGTTGAAAAACAAACAGGTACATGAAATCCACAATTACATATTTGACCACAGGTAGTACCTTGTAATTTTCCAATTTACATTTTACATTTTTTTTGTATCTTATTTATTTTTGTATGAATATTTTTATGTGAATTCTTTTTATAATGAGTGTTTTAAATGTTGTTATAACTATTTAGTTGAATAACTGCAAGTTGTATTATATTCTTTCAATAAATAAAGTTCATTGAAGTTCAGTTATCTTCACAATACAAGTCTGTAATTTTGCAAATTGAAAGGAAATGCATATACTGTACTTAAAATCTAATGAATAATTAATCCTATTACTTCAAGGTATTCATACAGTAGATCTGCAAAAGAGAACAAAAAAAAAAAGCAGAGTATAATATCGAAAAATTATCATTGTGAAATATGCATGAGTCGTCGCAGAGTCAAGATATTAATTTTGCATACAGGATTAAATTTCAATTCTTATCTCGAAAGTAAATGGCCAAAGTAATTCTACTTAAAAGTGGTGATCATAATGCTCATAAAATTTTCAAAAACTTGATCTATGTTCACAGCAATTACATAAACGTTTGTGTTATTTGATACTGACTTTGGAGATAATGTTATATATGATGATCATACCATGTAAACTTTTTTGATGGATTTCATTTCTTCTTCCCTTTGCAGTTGAAAAATGGAATTGCAATTGTAAGGTATATGTAATATGAAATTCAATTTTGTTTTCTAATAATGTCATTGACAAGTACTGCTATTATGGCAAAAATTAAAGATTATTGCTTTCGGTACTGTTCAAAAGAAATTAGCCATATATGACCATATATAGGCACATCATGGCTATATATGGGCATACAGCAGATAATCTGGACAGTCAAAGTTCTATCAGGTTATGTGCAACATTCGTTTGGACAAGTCAACAGAGGTGACAGCAGGATTTGCCTGACAGGGCTCCTATGTGGGGGGGGGGGTTCCCTATGTTCCAACGGGGGAAACATAGGGAACACCACGAAAAGAGTGTTAGTAGGCATGGCCGGGCGTCACTTCTTAAAATTGATCCAGGGGGTGAATCCTCAAAAAAACTATGACAATGAGGGGTTACAAAGACTTAATATATGTATATATTCTACTAAATATGTAAACAATCAGGTGAACTTGCCTAATTCAAATCCAAAATGGCATATTTTGATTTACTATGGTGGTTAATTATTGGAAAACACAACAATTTGGCATGTAGAATAAGATAGACTTAAAAATTATTCAAGTTTAAGGCAAGTTTAACTGTATTTTTTTTTTCTTTTGTATGAGTTGTTTTTTTCCCCTCAAATATAATGTGTTATGGACCTTTATGTCAAATAAACTTATTAACTGACAAATCCAGAACATGTTATTTATCTTATTTGTCTCACAAACATGGCATTTAGGTTAATGTTGTTTAGGTCCACACTATAGGATAATCCTACTAATATACAAGGCTGAAGTTGAACCCTACAATACCAAAGCTTCCTGCCAGATCTCTCCCTTGATGTCACAAAGGATTATAGGAGACCCCATAATCTAGTTTTTTTTTTTTTTTTTGTCTTTTGCCCCCTCAGGGGGCATAGACACTATGTTATTGTCTGACAGTTAATCCTGTAAGAGCAAGTGAATCCGGTTGAGGTGCATGATGGCTAATACTGCCACTAGGTAGGGGCGGCCTATTAGAAATCGAATAGATTTTTGAACTCGTACAAAATTGCGTTTGAAACTCGACCATGCGTCATAGAGATGCTGCACACGTTTGAAACAAACACCTTTTACTGTCTTTTGAAGGACGCCCTCTCGATTGTGGTAGTACTTTTCGAGATAAAATGATAGGAGGATTGCGTTACAACGACCCGAGCGTTTAACCCCAAGACCGAGAGTTCAACTCTTTGGTTTAACCCCGAGACCGAAAGTTCAACTCTTTGGTTTAACCCCTGAGACCGAGAGTTCAACTCTTTGGTTTAACCCCGAGACCGAGAGTTCAACTCTTTGGTTTAACCCCGAGACCGAGAGTTCAACTCTTTGGTTTAACCCCGAGACTGAGAGTTCAACTCTTTGGTTTTTACATCAACGTCTGAAACCAAGGTGTTATGTGCAGAAGTAAGTAATTACAAACTTCTCAAACCGAATCTGCATGCAGATAATTTAGTAGACATAATACAGTATAAGGCAATAGACACACGCTCCCTCTGGTGGGAGCCTATTTTTATCCATTGTCACACCCCCACTGTAATTCTGGGTATGGCCCTGTAGTCTTATATATTAATGTTGGTGTTTTGCTATGCTGCTGCAATTTCTATCCAATCTAGGCCTCCCGGACATCATGCACAGGAAAGCATTGCTAACGGCTACTGTATATTCAACAATGTTGCGATAGCCGCACGATTCGCCAAAGAGAAGTTTAATCTTGAGAGGTGAGATAAAATATTTATCACCCACATATTGTCTGAGACATTGTTTTTATTCTCATGAGAATTTTATTAATCTTCTCAAACAATAAAACACTTGAAAACATATTATATGAGACATAAACATTGTTGAAGATGTATTATGGTGATAAATAAAGTTTATTCAACATATTTATTCAGGATACATATATTCAATGAAAGTAAATGTACAATAGTAAAATTGACAAAGCATACTCAAATTGATCTACCAAATGGTCCGGATTAAAACAACAATTTGATATCAATGAACGATAAAATTATTAAAACAAGGATGAATACTAATACTATTACACTAAAATATCAACATGAAAAGAATTCAATTAAAAATAAGTCTAAAAGTGTGTTTTAAAAATTTGATTATAAAAACAATTGTTAAGAATTTGATCACTTCTAAACACAGGCAGTAATAAAATTGTTTAATTACCGTGAGTACTAGTAAAGTCAATATTTAAAAATTGAATGAAACCTTCAAAAAGTTACTTTTTTATTCCTTGTTTTGCAAACTTATTTTTTTTAAAGATCATATAGGAGAGTGGAAAAAATAAAAAATTAATTTTTGTTTTCTTATTTCGCAGATGGTTTTGCCATTTAACATCGAGATGAAGGAGGAAATAAAAAAATAAAAAATAAATAAATAATATAAAAAAAATAAATAAAATGTTATGTTTGAATATAAATAGTGTAGTGTAGTAATTCTGGTCGTTAAATTCTTTAAATTTATATAATTAGGAAGCAGGCATAATGAAATTAAATAAACCTTTAATTATTTTTTTTTTAATTTTCATTTTTTCGCGGCATCGGGTTCGTCAAATTTGTCAAAAAATAAAATTTTATTTTCATTCGAAACCCTGACTATTCGCAGCGGCTTGTTCGTTTAATAATGTAAAAAAAAATCTCGCCTTAAAACAAATGTATATCTATCAGTTTAAAATTACAAAAAGTTAATAAAAGAAGGATTAATTATTAATCACCAAAAAAAATGCATGTTGCATAATCAATGAATTGTTTTAAAATTTATATTAGAAATAATTTAATTTTTTCTTCTAAATTTAATCAAGTCTTTTATTTATTTTATTTTGTATTTAAATAAGTTTGCCAACATTTGGAACTAAATTATTAAAATCTTAAATTCAACTTTAGGATCTAATTTAATTTTTAAATTGCATTTCAACTAATTATAAAAGTAATTCATAGAATGATTAATTATTATTAACAAAAAAAAAAGCATTTCGCATAAGCAATTAATTGTTTTAAAATGTAAATTTTAAATAATTTAATTTTTTCTTCAAAATTTAATCAAGCCTTTAAAATATTATTATTTAATTTAATTTGAATTTAACAAAGTTTGCCAACATTTGGAACTGAATTAATTAGATATTATTTTATAATTAATTTAGGATCTGAATTAATTTTAAATTTCATTTTAACTAATTATAAAATATCAATTTGTTGTCATTTGAAATAATTACATTAATTTAGTCTAATTATATTTTGAAAAGAAAATGAATAACGACTATGTTGATATAATTTATATTATAATAGAATGGAGTATTCTTTAATGCGTATGTTCAAAATTCACTCATAATTTCATTGCAAAAAAAAGTAGTAACAATGCTAAAAACACTTCCAGTTATTTGATTTTAAAAATTCACTATATATATTTTTTTAAATTTTATATTTTATTGTTTAGAATAAATTTTTAATTCAAAATTTGTTAAAAAAAATACAGGTGTGACAGGGATTGATAAAGCTCTTTCTTATTTTTCTTCATCTGTAGGATATTAATTGTTGATTTTGATGTGCATCATGGCCAAGGCATTCAATATTTGTTTGAATATGATCCGAGGTAATGGTTCTGTTATTATTTCATGATTAAATAAAAGTGGAGTTGAGAAGCTCAGTAGTTATTAAAGATGCTTGCCTTCTGATTTATTTATTTTTTTATTTTCAATCTTTTGACAAAGAACAGAACAGGTTAATAATAATAATAATAATTAAAAAAAATTAAAAAATATTAAAAATAAATAAATAAGTAAGTAAGTAAGTAATTAAGTAAGTAAGTAAATATACTGAAAAGAAAGGAATTTGAAATATATATAATTCTTATTATTTAAAATAAAATTATAAAATTATAAATATTTATGTACATTTATCACATCCAAAAAACAGTATTTCGTCATTTAAATACAAATTTTAAAATGCAATCGTCTTAAAAAAATGATAAAATCATATTTAAGTACATTCGAAAAAGAAGAATATAACAAAATAAAAAATCAGGAAATTAATTCTGGGTTCAATTCCTGTCACAGCAGGAATTTTTCTCACGAATAAAATCAACTCCACGCCCTTAGCCTCATAAAGAGACTTGGTTTATAAAGCATTATTCTCATCCTGTAAGTGGCTAGTGTACTCGCTGTTGAATGTGATGGAAATAACAAAAAAAAGAAAAAGAAAAAAAAATAAATAGATATCATCACCATAATTCCCCAGAAGTAAACCCATCTTTTGTATAATCTCACACTTTACTTCACAATAGATTTTTCCCCCAAGCAAAAGCCCATGAGTATGATTTTGATAAATAGGTCAAATAAATTACTAATTAAAAGACAAGATTTAAAAAAAAATAATGATTAATGTTTTTAATAACTTTAAGTATGTATTTTTTACATATATATTTTTAATTTAAATTTGATTGATTGGCCTATTTTACTTGAATATTTTATGCTAATTTAATTTATGTTCTCATTGGCTTTGGAGAGCCACTAGACAGTGATTCAGTTCACTTTTTGGCAATCCTATCCGGCCAACTGTGTGTTTTTTGCTGTCTGTTATCTTGTGTTTGTCAATTTTAATGTTTTTTAGACGAAATAAATAAATTGAAATGAAATAAAAATTAAATATTTTATTATGTTTTATAAATATCCAAAGGTATATCAAAGCAGTAAAATTATACCAAAAATAAAATTTTTCAGAAGAAAAAGAAATGATTAATGGTAATGCTAATTGAGAGGAGTAAATTAAATTTTAAATATTGTTCCAGTAACTACAACTATAACTGTATTCAGAAATAAGGCAAAATAAATGCAAAAACAAAGTCTTTTTTTTTTATAGTTTAATATTTCAGAGAATGGGCATAAAATGTTTTCTCAATTAGTAGAATGGCTTGCCAGTAACTTCAATGTAGAATAACAAATTATAATGAAATATTATTGATGAATGAAAAAATTGCGTGTAGGAGGTATAAAAAGTAATAGGTGGTATACCGTAGGCCCCTACTTGGGATCATATTGCATGGTTGTAACGATGCTGGGATGTAATCAGTTTGGTAATCAGATAAAGGCATTATACTTATTTGATTGTCAGGCAGAAATTATAGATTTCTTATCAGGAGACTTCATGGCGGCAGATGTAATAAAAATGAATAAAATTGTTTTCATGGCTGTGGGTGCGCTAACAGGTCAGTAGTAAAAAAAATGTTTTCTAATAAGAAAAATGAAGAGTGTATTGTTCGCTCCACAGATCAGTTAGTAGAATTATTTGACTGGTTCTGACTAACCCTCACCATAATCGTTTATCGCAATTTCTAATTTCCCGCAAGCACCCAAAACGTTCGAAAATCAGAATTTTGAATATTTTCATGTTTTTGCATTATGTAAACGAAAATATATTGAAGAAAATTTCTGCAAAATGTCAATCACTAAATCTAACTGAAAAGGGATATCAATTATTTTTAAAATGCAAATCTTAATAAACTATTACATAGGTTTTGGAATTTTTAAAAGCTGTTTTCTTTAATCTTTTATAAGGTGTTTTCTTAAAACCGGCCTACATGGCTGATATCGAATGAATTTAATATTCATAGCTTTGGTATTATACTCAACCAATTTCTGTCAAATGAACAAAAATTCATGCAGAATCTAAATATACCAAAAATATAATATTGAATTTTTCCTACAAATGGCTGGCTTTGCCAGAGCTGGTTACATATTATCAAGACTTTTGGTTTGATTTAAGATTGGTCGAGGTTATGTGAAGTTGTAATATCTGTGTTGTGTGGTGGAGTTACTGCACTCAATTGAGTGCATTCTTCCTAATTTTTGTTAAATAATTAATTTAAATAAATAATGGGTTTGTTATTTTCAGCATAACTCAAAAGTAGAAGGATGGTTTAAGAGGAGTGTCCCTTTTTGATGTAGAAGGGACCAGTCAGTCTCTTCATATTTTATCCTAATCTGAAATATTTTAATTATATTATTGAATGCTTTTTAATTTTAAACATATTTTATTTAACTTTAACTTTTGAAATGGTATTGGACACCGCGTTTGTACAAGCTCTGTGAGCTTTTTATAGTTGTCCATTTCATATTTTTATTATATTATGTATTTCATTGCTAATAACACTTTTTTGATAAATAAATTGAAAATTAAATTTAATTGAAGTCACATGAGTCATAAAAATAAATATAAATTAAAAATAAATCCAATGCAGTGTTTCCCAGTTGGAACATTTTTACTGGTAAATTTTCCTATAAAAATTTGGCTATGCACGGAGTGCAGGGCATTACTCCTTTTGAGTGGGGTTTAATGAATTTAAAAACAACAATACATACAGTCTTAGCCTAGGCATGGATTGGAATGATGTTCATTAATACTGAAATAAGGCCAGGCTTGATTACCTAGGCCTAATCTATGGTTTTTTATTTTACAAACACAACATTTTACATTTACAAACACAACAAAATTAACTGGTTGGCCAGTTAATTTTTTTCGGTAAAATTGATGGCTAAAATGGCTTCGGGAGAAAACTCTTATGGAAAATGAATAAAATATTAATAACTCCTAGATTGAAGATTCCATGCAATTCAAAAGATTTAACTCAATATTCTGGGTTTAATTTTAAATGAACAGAGACAAACATTAATTATGATAATGATTAAAGACTAACCTTAGCAAGAGCATCTTGGTGAGTGACGTACAATACTAATTACCAAGAATTGTTTTACAAACAAGCTTGTGAATTATTTCAATTTGTTTTGATTGTTTAAGAGTGATAATCCTGATCTTTATAGAGGTCAGGAAAAAATACAATGATCTCCTGTCGGGGCTTTAGTTGTACGCAAAATGCATTGAGAAAATAATCTTTTAGAAGCTATGGGAATTATCGTGTCTATTTTGCTGTCTTATCTTTCAATTATTTTGTATAATTATACAGAGATGGTTTACCGGTGGTGAGTGAGTAACTGATTTTAAAAACAGACTGTGAAATTAACCTTTGCGCAAGTGCAGTTGATGCTCTTGGCAATTAAATCTGAGTTTGGACCTTGTGTCATTATTATTTTACAATTGCGATATAAATCATGAATTCGGTCTCACTACATATGAGTCACTTGGTTTTAATATGTTTTGGTTTAATAGCATATTTTAATAGATCACAATATAAACTTAAAGTTTGTCTTTGAATGAGTTTCTAGGATAAATAGATCCAGGGATGTGAGAAAACCTGGTTAAACTATAACTAGTTTGCAGGATTGAGATAAATTATTTTTTCCGGGAGGTTCTTGACTTGTTGCCGGAGTGCTGGAGGCTGTCCTGTGGACCCTTAAAATGTGGCATAGCTGTCAACAATAGCTCGAAATATTATCTAATTTAAAACTTTAATATTATGTATTTTTATTTCTTTATTTTTGGCAGTGTTTTATATTGCTCCATTCATCGATATGACAATAAAGAATACTACCCTCGTTTAGTGGACAGTAATTCAGAGCACATCGGACAGGGACGTGGGCAGGGTTACAACATCAATATTCCTTGGAATGCGGTAAGTACATTTTTAGGTTTGCTTTACATTCCCTTTAAATCCAGGATCTGAAAGAAAAAGATGTTTTAATGTGTGTTTTACACAAAAACAGTGTTTATTTTAAGATCTCTCTAATTAACGACCACTTTTCCGTGGTCCCACATGTTAAGAAATATCTTTAAAGCTTATATTATTCTTATTAGTGATCAAAGCGTTTTACTTTTTCTTCTTACCTGTTTGATATTTGTAATTGTATGGTTTTTTTTTTTTTATTTCTTCAAGTTTGTGAATAATATTATGAATTCAATACTGAAATATAGTCAGTAAATCAGTCATTGAAATAATAGAAAAGGGTGAAAACCAAAACACTCCCTATAGTTTCAGGACAGAACAATGGCTATTTATAGATCTAGTCTCTAACTATCCCTTTAATAAAACTTGTTTTATGATCATAAGCAAAGTAATGATAATTTTAATTTGACATAAAAGAAAAAAAAAGAAAACATGGTACTTGATCAAATCATTAAGTTGCAGCCAAAAACATTTTGGTGGTGTGTCGGAATGAACAAATTGGACAAACAGGAAACAATTTTTTTTAATTAACTTATAAAATTGTACTGTAAACTTTAATGCATACATTTGAGTAGCAACTAATGCTTCATAACCATAGGCAATATCATTAATGTGAATCAGGGGTGGTGCCAGCGGGGTGGGTGGGGGGCACTGCTTCCCCATCTGGGAGAGGGAGAAAAAGCACAATTTGTCGGGGAGAAAATATATTATATGTATTTTCTACACATTACTAGACTCTAAAATCATTTAAATAAGCCTTTGAAACCCCTAAATTGTCAAAACTTTCGGAGGCTTCGCCCCCTGGACCACTTTCAAGACCTTAGATAATCAAAGCTTGACCATGTCCACTTTGCTTTCATCAGGGAAATCTGACCCCTCGTTGAGGGCATTGATAGCTTTTGGTGTTGTTGCGTACATGGAGGGATGGAATTCTAATAAGTTGCGTGACGAAATTCTAATGAGTGGCGGGAAGTAAATACATTTTTTTTTTTTGTTAAAATTATTGTGTTAAAATTTGCTAAAATTATTTTTAAGTAAAAAATCATAAATTACACCTTTAAAATCATAATATTGTTATTTCATTTTTTCCAATTTATTTGTATTCAGTTGGCAGCAAGAAAGCTGATTTACAATTAAAACAAATTCACACACTAACAACACTATTGATTAAAATGATAATGTACAAAAGATATTACATATAAAAAATTAGAAATATAAGAATCAAGAATTGTGGAAATGGAATTGAAGCAAACACTTTTAAAAACATTATATTCATAAGCTATGGCATTCTAGTAAAGTGGTGGCCAGAATATCTTAACATGTTTGGTCTAAAATTAACTTTAATTCAACATAATTTCTTTTAAAGCTAAATCAAAAATTATACCTATAAAATCATATAAATTAGCAAACTATGATGAAAATGAGATCATAGCAAAGTGTCTACAGAAATTTAATTGGTTTCAATTGGTGGCAGAACAGATTTTGACCAATAAAAATGCTTAAATATTAATAATTAAGAAATGTATGTAAAAACATATTTTTACCTCAATTTGTACTATTGATACTGTCAACTATAAAACAAACCTAATTTTAAAATCTGATAAAAAATTCATCCTGCCACTTTTTGTACTTTCTTAATTGGGTCATTTGATATACAAAAAAATTTGTATGAGACATGTCGTGGCGAAATGGTGAAGTTGTCGCACAGTCCATTACTGAGTAAATTTGCTATAAAATATGGGAGCTCAAAAAAATTGCCTAAAAATCCAAATTTGTTTTTCACTATAGATTTCACTATAGATCAACAGTTTAATGTCTTATTAATCATGTCCCAAAGTATTAGTTCTGGAATGGAAGTGGTCAAGAAATTGTTTATTTAACGTTATTTTGATAGTTAATTCTATTAAACAATGTATGCACAAATAACTTTGAAAGGAAATTACTCAAAATAATGTTTATCTTGACTCTATAAGAGTACTGTACTTTCTCTTTCCAATAATTTAGGCTTGAAATATCCAATTTGAATGAATAACTCCTCATTTTAAAGATCACATACTCAGGTATCTCAAAATACCAATAACTTGAATTTCAATTTTTGCTACATTAGCCATTTTGCCACAACATACCTCATATTATCACCAAAAAAACCAAAAAAAAATTAGTTTTAAATGAAAAGATAATTGTTCTTTTAAGTGATGTAAATATTTTTATAAATGTTTGAAAATGAAAAGTCGGTGTTTAGGTTGAAATATTTTGGAATTACACCCAGAATTATTCAGTCTGTAAATTCTGAGATTTTGATGTGCAAAAAAAAAGGAAATTGCTGTAAGTTGACGAAAAGGTGAATTGAGAAAATCTATCATTTATTGTAGATGGCTAATGTGATCCTGCATATTAAATGATTTGTAAAGAAAGTCTAAGGATAGTTAAAGGCGGTGAGAATAAGGATGAATAAATAATGAATCAATGGAGATTACAATTACCATTATTATTTCCGTCGAGATGTTATTATGCAGAAATTGATTAGATTTTCCCACTGTGTAGGAGTTGATTTTGTAGGATAGCCAAGAATTAATTTCATTACAGTGTTTAAGTCACTGAATAGTAATATTATTAAAGTCAGTTAGATCAAACACATTGTAGGCTTATCGCTAAATGTTGTCAATGTGAAAATGATAAAATATTAATGTGTTATGATTTTTGAGAATTTTGTATGCATTAGACATTTTCTGAGAAAAAAAAAAAGAATTTGCCAAAATATTGATAGTTGCTATACCAGCATAGTGGTAATGTGACTATAATAATAATGTGGTTAAATCTAAATTAATGCAAGTCAACATACACCAGGCTAGACACCATTGTATGAATTTCTAAATCACTATATCTGGAATGCCACATATAACCCGTACATTGCAGCTGCAGTGTTTAAAATTTATGCAAATTATTATTATTATACATACTTTATATTATTATACAATATTGCAGTAACATATCTGTGTAAAGTAGCGTCATATTCTTTATATCAGCTGTATGGAACTGAAGGAGGCTATATGGTCCTGATTCTCTTATAGTGACATTGACATAAAACATGTTTTAAATTTCAATTAACACATTTTCATGAGCTGTTTGCATGATACTGCAGCAAAATAATTTGTTATTTGATATAGCGGTAGATCTAGAAAAAATGTGTGTTGGAGGTGCAAGCAAAAAGTCTGGGGGTCGAAGTCAATTGCAAAATGAACTCAATACAATAAATATAATTACAACGCTTTCAGAGGTATCAATACCATTGTCTTTTTTCTTCACTTCTTTCTTCTTTTCTTTTCCTCTCTAATTTTTTTTTTCTTTTGGGTGGTGGGGAGGGCTAGTGCTCCCCATGTACCCCCCCCCCAATCCGCCCCAGTGATATCTGCATGTTTGTGTTATCAGGGAAAGAGGTTTTCTAGATAGTGGACCCAGTCTGTCAATAGATGGGGCTCTTTATAAAAATGTATACTTAGTTGAGTGACCAGAAGAAAATACAAGTTTTTTTTGGTCTGCATATAAAAATATAATTTCTGTCATTTGTGTTTTCAAAAAAAATGTTTTAAAGGCAAGTAATTGTTCCTATTGTAAAGTGCAACTTTACAATAATTGCTTTATAAGTCAATCATCTTTTAGTACATTCTCATGGATGGAATGTTTTAAAAATTTTAAGATTGTAAAGTTATTGATAATGTCACAAGTAAAATTTATAATTGTTATTTTTTATTTTACTTATTGTACATATTTCAAATGGATTTTCATGCTGAGCATATTCTTTAACAAATGCTCCATTTTCCAAAAAGGGCTATACTACAATAATAAAAAAGGTACATTATTAAATAAACGTTTTCTTATCTCAGACTTCAGATAATTTACAGTAATGTTTCGTACTTCCCCACATTTTGCAACAGTAATTTACCGGAAGGATTTCAAACATATAGAATATCTCTGCCATAATAGTTTCCCTCTTAAAATGAAATATAAAACCACATATTTTAATAGAGTAGGAGTGGAGTATAATGCAATTAGAAAGGCTAAAATTTTTTAACATTATTTTCCAAACCTAATATAGAAAAGAAATATTTAAAAAATGAATGAAGACCAAAGATATGATACTTTAACAAGACATAAATGGATATACTGTAATACATTTATTCAATATACCCTGTTTTATTTCATTTTAATGTGTTTTACTGTATTCCATTCCTATCCACTTGCAAGCAAGTAGTGACCAGAATTTATATAGATTTCTTTATTATTTGTTTGTGTATTTATCTTAGTATATATTTATAGTATATTATAACATTTAAATAATATGTAATTACTTTAACTAAACTCTTCTATTTTTCACTTCATATTGATTTTGTCTTTATAAATAAATTTAATTCAAAATCTTTACAATTTTATTTCTTTATGTTTTTACGGTTAAAATTTGTCAAATTGTGGTCTCTGCTTTAATTTTATTGTAATCATTACATCTGCTTGTGGGCAATTCCATGTTAAGTACTACCATATATTTTTTGGCCAAAGTAAATTTAACTTGTGATAAATTTAAGGTACTCGTTATCCATTGTTGAGACTATGAGGTTGATATTTGGAAACAAATCTTGATCGGCAAACAATCACACTACATGTTTAGAATGTGTTACATTGATTGATTGATTGATGGACTTATAGCCATCTAGTATGTGCGTTACTGTCAATGCTTGAATAAGCGCTGTGCTCAAATAAGCACAGCCCCAAAACCTGATTTTTTCCACTAAGTGCCATTCTCGAATACACGCTACAGCGCTTAATCGGGAGTATATAATACCCTGTGTGTAATGAAACACTTTGAGAATCAGGGTTTTAAATACAATGTGTACAGTGTTAAAATGAATAAATAACACAATGAAGGCACAAGCATTGCTTTATATATGTACGTTTATTTACGATGATTTTCGACCTATGATAGGCCTACCGGACTACGGGAATATGTGAGATAGGTAACATGAGAACAGGCATGGAAAGCCCCACGACAATATTTTTTATAAAGTGCCTCTCTTGAATAAGTGGCACTCTCGAAATAAGCGCCGCACTGAAGCCTCCAAAAGTTCTGTAAAGTGCATGGTATATCAATTAATAACTTGTTGGTTGCTGTTGTTATTTTTATTGTTATTTTTGTTAATGTTATTATTATTATTCTTATTTTTGTTTTTGTTCTTGTTCTCTTTGTTTTATTGAGGAAAAGTTTGATGTTACTTGTTGTTTCTAGTTGTCATTTTTTATTGTCGTGCTTATTTGTGTCATTGTTGTTGTTGTTGCTATTGTTAATGACATCAAAATTTAATATTGTAGTGTTTAATATATGATTTTTTTTTTGTCTAATTTAAATTCTTAGGCTGGGTTTGGTGATACTGAATACTTGGCAGCCTTCCAACAAGTTATCCTTCCGGTGGCATATGAGGTACAGTATATCTTCATTTTCTTTTAAAATGACTGTATTTTCACCCTTTTGCTTGTAAATTCTGTCAATTATTTAACATTTATAAATCCAGAATATTTTAACTGTGAAAAAACCAAGCTCTGATTTGATATTTTGTAGAGTATTTTCTGAGACACTGAATGATTGTTCAATTTTTGGGAATGGATTGAAGATAGAGATTTTTGAGTATGAAAATTATGAGACCGAAAGGTCCACTGATTAATCTCAGTTAAGATAGTATATACTCCAAGTATCGAAATGCAAGCCATCGTTTCGGGATTCAATATTTTGACATTAATTATGTCATCATCAGGAATGATGATGACGTCATCATGATGGTTCAATATTTCGACATTAATTATGTCATCATCGAGGTCCCCGATGAGGTTGCCGATGCCCCAGACGAGGGGTCAGATTTTCTTGACGAAAGCAATCTGGCCGTGGTCGAGCTTCGATTAAAAGGCTTCGAAAGTGGTCCAGGATCAATTTAATTCTCAGCTTAATAAAAATAATAATAGTGTAGTTTTATATAGCGCACATATCTATCTAATGTAACATGCTCAGGGCGCTTGATAATGTGGACTAGGAACTCGATCAATGACTTTCTTCACCCCTAAGGGTCCCTTTGTGTCTGTGCTACCCGGTACTAACAACTATCGTCATCCACCACATTAAGCCCGTGTGCACATTACAGAACGCTGCACCACCAGAAATACCCCACTGGAAATAAGTCTTCTTCAGACTTTCATGGGTTATCCTTGGTGTTTAAAGAAGTTAGTAAAATTAGTAAATATTTTTTTTTTTGAGTTCTGTTTTATAATCTCAAATGATGTACTTGGCAAATAAGCCAAAGTGTACACTAGACCTACGGTGTATAGTCCTATCCCAGAAGACTTGTTCTACCACCAGAACCATAGGCGAACCAGCACCGATAATAAAGACACCGATATTATGACTAGACGTTGCTGCGCCCCTACTAACCGCTCGGCCATTCGACTCGCCTATCTTATTGCTCTTTTTTTGTATACATTCTTTCATGTTCTTGTGCGAGTCCTACATATTACCACGGGTGAAAACAACTTTACAGACCGTTGGTGCACCAACTTGGTATCATTTAATTGAGAAGTGAAGGGGAAGAGGGTGATTGTACAATGCATATTTCCATGGTGTGAGAATTAACTCCAGCAGTACTGGGAAAGGCCATTGTTTTTGTTCTGATTGTTTTTTTTTCCCCTTTTTTCTTGCATATATTTTTCCTATCTTTTTGCACTGTTTTTTTCTGGCCTTCACTTCCCATGCTTAGAATTTTTCCGTGCTTTGCTTGTTTTTCCTTTTTTTCTTTTTTTTTTCCACTTCATTAAAATTATATTGGTTTTCCGTTTTTTTTTTTAACATTATAGCTTTAAATGACTTTTGTTTTTGTTGCAATTTCAACTTCATTTCTCACTAAAGCAAAGTGGAAAAGTCCTATGTTCTGTTGTTGAAACAGACATAGTAAAGCCTTGTTGTATTTTTTTTTTTATTTAAGCGGACTTCTTAAGCACTATGGAAATTCTGTAGTGAGACCTAATGAAGTTGCTGCTGAAATTTTGCCTATTTACAGATGTTTTTTGTAAAATTCTACAACTGTACGTGCAATTTTGAGCAACAAATATCTTGCACTCAAGGTTTGGGTGCTACCAACATTGTTCATTTACTACACACTATGGAAATCTGAAGACAGTTACGGAAATACATTTTACGAACTTGAAAATTCCGATTTGAGCGAGCATCACATGGAATTCTAATGTTATATAACAAGTCGCAATAAGCCAAACTTGAACTTAACTGTTTTTAGCACTCATTAGAGTGATTTTCAATATATTTGATTTTATTGGCTTACGATCACTAATATTTTTAGTAACAATCATCATTAAAAGTAGTCAAAATATGTTTTTCTCCTTGCAGGTCACCTGCAAGTAATTCCATCCAATCAGAAATAATGGCTTTTTAGCCCACACAGTGTCTTTATGAAAAAAAAAAAAAATCAGCAATCCAAAATCCAAGAGATAGTAACATTTCAATTCCAATGTTATGATCAATTTCAATGTTGTATATAAAAATGCTTTGTTTAAATATATTAATGCTATTATTAGACAATTTTAATATGTCTATATCAGAGTAGAGTTGATGTAAATCATCAACTGGAAATGATCTGTAGACAGTCTTTTCCTATTACCAAATTGTTGGCTCGATTTACTTCTCCTTTTCCATGATGATGCATCGGTTTTGCCGAGTGATAAGCAAGTTGACGTTTCCAGATCATTAAATTCATTGCTGGAGTCATCTTGGGCTTGTCAATGAAATGTTGTTTCAATTTTTGCATGGGAAAGAAACTTCAGCATGATTGAAAATTGCATAGAAAATTTAGCGTTGCTTTAATCATGGAGGAATTAGTTTAGTCTATACTAATTCTTCCATGCTTTAATGAACATGATCAGTCCATGTTGGGGGAAGTATTATATTTATTCTTTCTTTCAACGGGATAGCATTTTCAATAGCGCAGTACTGCTTTTCAAAATGGTCCAAACAGAAGTAGAATATTAAACAGAACACAAAAGTATAAAAATACAAGAAAAAAGTTTTCTTGTAAACCCAAATTACACATGGCACGAAAATTTGATGTAAAGTTCAAATTGCAAAAAAACCTTGTAGGTAAGTAGTCCTTTCTATACCCTTAAGTTTCTGCTAGCAAATATGGAATTTTGTAGAGCAATGTCTGCAAATATCGGAAAACAGATTTTGTTTTTCTTTTTGCTTTACCTGTGACCCATTAATAAAAGTTCATCTTAGGTACTTATTTTAAAATGAGCAATTTTATTTAATTTTGTTTATTGGTTTCGTTGCTGTTGCTGCTGCTGCAGTTGTAGTTGTTGTTATTACTGTTGAAGTTATTGTTATTATTACGAACTAATTCATTTATTGACTCACTAAATTTGTTAAAGCTTGATCATCAAATAATAATAATTTTTATTATAATCTTTTGTGCATCTTTCAAAATGCAAAGAAAGTACCAAAGATTTTACAACATTATTTCACCTTTTCACTCGATTTATTGGCTAAACTCAAACAACCGCCTCCTCTCACTTTGTGTGCGGTAGAGCACATTACTCATCTTAAATTAAAATTAAATGTTTAAATTTTAATTGTGTAGAAATACACACTTTTGAGATGTGATGCTATACCAAAACTGACTTGGTGACCTCTGACATATAGAAGATTAAAACTATAACTACATATTCAACAAAGCACAAGCACTATACATAATTTGTACGTGTCTAACAAGAAAAAAACATAATATTTAACAAGCTTGTGTACAGCAGAATGTGAGTTGGTTACTGCTTGTATTTAAGATTTGATTTTATATCTAAACTTTAATAATAATAATATCTTTAATTTATATGGTGCCAATACCAAACAAGATCCAAGGCCTAACACATGTGAAAAGCCACCAGAAAACAAGTGGCCTTTCTGTGACTGAAAGTTGCAATTAGAGTTGGAAGAAGTTATGTAATTTGGAAGTTGGTTCCAGAAATAGGCAGTAGCAAAAGCAAAAGAACATTGACTGTAGGTTTTGGTACAGCATTTGGAGACAGAAAAAAGGATTTGAGAGGATGATTGGAGACGGCGAGATGGAGTTAATCAGGAAATCATTTAACGTAAATACATGAAAGTATGATTTTTTAATTAATTGTGTAATTTTCCATATTTTTACATTTTTGTACTCTCTTACAGTTTAATCCTCAGTTAGTTTTAGTCTCTTGTGGCATGGATGCAGCTATCGGTGATCCAAAGGTAAAAATTTGTTATTGAATTCTTAAAAGAATTGTTTATTTCCATCTGTTGAATTGCAGGTGGTACATTGTAGCACAATAAACTCAAATTTAAATTAAATTCTTTTCTTAATGCATTGGGAATTTTTACCTGAAGTGAATATCAAATAATAATATTTGTGTATTTCTCAATATATTGAGGAATTTTTTGTCAGATTTTTTTAAATAGTTATTTTAATGTTATAAATAAATGATATTAAGGAAAATCTTAACATTGGAACTCACGGTGTGATAATTTTCCTAGTAGTATGTATATGCCAGATACACTTGTATTTTAAACTTCTATAATTCTATTCGTTGATGAATGTCATTATTTGTTCATTTTTTTAGGGTGAATTTAATGTCAGTCCAGCATGTTACGCACACATAACGAGCATGCTTATGGGGCTTGCAGATGGTAAAATTTGCTTTTCATTAGAGGTAATATCTTCTTAATCTAACTCATTTTTTGAATTTGAAAATGATGAAGTAGAACAATTAATCTTGAATATCACTATAATCAATTCTATAAATTCTATATAATTTTAAATTGTTTTTTTTTTTTTTTTTTTTTTTGTAGAAGTATGTTGTTAGATTAAACGTAAAAGTTTTTGTAAAGTCAATATATGTAGGGTCTTGAGATTTAAAATCTATGATTTGATTAAGACTTTTTATAAAGTGTATTAAAATTTAATTGTTGAATTTGTACAACATTAATTTATAAGGGTGTGACACAGCATGTAAGGCCTTTCAATATATTGAAAGGTTGGGGGTTTGAGACCGATGCTCATTTTATTTATTTTATTTGAACCATATTAAATGAGGGTGGTCCATCCAGCAAAAGCTAATCATATAAATTGGTATCTGGTAGGAGGGTGAATAATTCGGAATTAAATTAGTAGTGCTGATTACACGCAAATAGGAATACTTCCACTGGCGTATCTAGAAGTCTTGAAATGGGGTTGCTGATGGTGGGGGACACAAATTGAAGTGGGGGGACTCGATGATCAGTTGAGGGGCACTAAGTCTCAAAATAAGGTGATTTTATGTAATTTTTAACTACTAAGATAGTATAATACATACTCCAAGTATCGAAATGCACGCCATCGTGTCGGGATTCAATATTTCAACATTAATTATGTCATCATCAGGAATGAAAAATTATCCATATTTGCAAGCTATATGCACAAGAGTACCAAGAGTGTTTGACCAATCAAAACATTACTCCTAGTAGGTGACATAGCTATGAATAAACTAAAGATCAAAGCATTCTTACCCTACTGATCAGAGTTACCTACAAAAACAAAGAAAGCTCCTTTGAAGCTTTCAACCCATTTTTAAGCAATGGGTGTAGCCTACGTAGAGCAAACGCTTCTTTAAACAATAGTATACAGTAGACCAATTTTGCGAACTGTCTATAATGTTAGTATTAGAAAATATTAAACCTAATTTATTACATACATTATACAGGCTACATTATCATTTTCAAGTATACCTTGTAAACCTAAAACATATTGGAATGCCTCACAGTTGTGTATATGATCATTTATAACACTATTTAATCATCATCAGATCGTGAAGAATGTTCTTTAAGTCTAGTTATTAAGTATCTATCAGTCTTACCAATGTAATCACTATTACAACCTAATATTGAACTTTTTGATTTGATTTGATTTATTAGGTACTCGACATAACAATACAAGACAAATGAGCACCAGGATTACCCATTAAGCCGATGATAGTCATGCTCATTTTCAATGGGGTCCTTATAAAACCAACACAATAAGAAACACAAAAAAGACAGAAATAGATTTTAATTAATTAACTACTTGTAAGTGATTTTTTTTTGGGGGGGGGGGCGACTGGGAGGGGCTCAAGTAATTTTGAAGGGAAGTGTGCACTCCCTAGATATACGCTACTGGAATTGAATAATCCCCCGGGTGTGCAGAAGGCCTGCACATTTGTATGATTTATTCTGTATTCAATGACCTGGCGCTTTTTACCTGCTTATTGGATACAGCTACAGTCGGCAACCTTTTACCCCTCCCCCCAGGACCCAAAATAAAAGAAGATGTCTCTACAACCAGATACTCATGTATACAGCATTATATATCAAAATACTATGTAGTGTCTCGTAACAATATTTTGCTGTGGAGAATGGTTTTCCTGCAATTTTGTTTAGATTATATTTTTGATAAAATCTGGTTCTCCAGCCAGAAAGTTGTTTCAGTTTTTCGAAGACATGAAAGCCTCCATAAGCACTCCTTCTTGCCCATAATTCCTATTTTGCACGAGAAGATTATAAAAATATTAGCTTGCGTACTAGTAGATTGCCCTGGAAAGAAGTGTGTGGGCAATGATGCAAATGATGACTGCGTTTGGGTGTTCAATCACAATAACGTTGGTAAAAAACCCCCTTGCGGTGATGTTATACTTATTTGAGTGCTGAGACTTAAAAGAGTGAAAATGACGATGCCTATTCATGGTACACCACCACCCATAGGGAAGTTTTATCAAGCATATCAATAAAGGCCTGTTTATACTTGCAACGATAACAATAATAAGCTGAAAAGCAATTGTTCATATAGAAAATAAAAGATATAAGAGAAGTTTTTTGCACTAGGACGATTCGATGACAAAATATTTTGACAAATCAATTCAAATGACGTCATAATCATAGAAAAAAGATAAAATTGTTGTTACTACTACAATTTTATGGTTTTTCTATGATTATGACATCATTTGAATTAATTTGTAAACATATTTTTTTATCATATACATGATAAATCCTCATCGAATCGTCCTAGTGTCAAAACTTCTTACTTTTTAAATTTTCTATATAAACAGTTGCTTTTTAGCTTATATAATATGGAATAATTCGAACATTGTGCATGATTGATTATCCAATCTGTTAAAAAGTGCATTGAGAGTTTTCTGGATATGTTCCCTATGTAAATCCTATAAAATAGTGAAAATAATAATAAAAATCTTGAAAAGTAATTAAGATAACCAACCTTCATTGAGACACGCAGCGAATCATTTCATTTTTCTGCAGTTTACAGCTATCTTTTCTAAAAACATCTTAAAATTGATCAGCCAATTAGAATGGTCTATTAATTTTTGTGCTCTATTTTTCGATTTCATGTTAATATCTTTTAAATATAAGTAATTGGCCCATTTATGATATGGAACTTATTTTTATGTCCGAGTTTATTAGCTCATAATACACAGAGTTAACATTACGGATAATAGTACTCGACCCAGTAATCGATATACTTTACATAATAACTGACAATAGTAATGGAAATGTGAATGCATGAATTTCAAAATGATTCCTTGTACGTACTTCAAATGATTTAATTTTTGTTGTTTGCGCAACCACTTAACAACATCGTATATGTAAAGTGACATTAAATTATAATGATTCCTGGAAGTCTGAAATTATGGTAGATAAACTGATTACCTTATATCCATGCATATAAAATGAGGCTTGAAATAGAAAATTACGATCGAAAATCGGGGGGGGGGGGGGGGGGGGGGGGGGGGGTCGTCTTATTTATGCAACACATACACATTTTTTTTATTTTTAAATGATGTGTGGATTGTTGGTACCACTCAAATTTTCTACTGAAATAAAGCTACAGCTGTTAGTATGAATGAAGGCTATTCATTGGTTTATTTGATATATATATATATATATATATATATATATATAAAATGTATTTCTTTTATCAATAGGGTGGTTATTGCTTAGAGAGTTTGGCTGAAGGTATCGCTATGGTTACAAGGACATTGCTTGGCGACAGTTGTCCACTGCTACAGCCTCAGCAGCAACCTCATGAAAGGTGAAGCCAATGTGCATTGTTATTGTTGATAAAGACATTGGTTTTTATATTGCATACTAGTAAAGAGTTTCGGTAATTATTGGTTGGTTTATGACCAGGGAAAAAGAAAGTGAGCTTTATAACTTCTTCAAGGAAGAAGTGCATTATAAATGCCCATACCAGTACCAGTTTAAATAAAATAGAACAAATGTTACTCCGCATAAAGAAAGGGAGGCCATGATTCGATGTTTCGACCTTTATTGGGTCATCTTCAGGAATGAAGATGACCCAATAAAGGTCAAAAAGTACCAGTTTATCAGTTGGTTAAACTGTTAGAAACTGATGAATCCGTTGACGAGTCAAGTAGGTCAACCGGTAAGGGGTGCTGCTAACAACAGCCTTCAAATTGGCGCTAGCTTGAGCCGCTCCGCACATGGTTTGGTTAGTAGATCATATGACAGTGAGGTACTAATATATAATGTTCCATTTAACAAAGCTACAATTTATTGAACATTTGTTGTTCATTCATTCTTTATTTAGACTTTTATGAAAATCACAATACAATTTTTACATACAGTTAAATAAAACTAAAAAAAAAATAAATTCACAATACAGAATAAAGGATTAACAAAAGCAATTAAAATCAACACACAAGCTAGCATTGTTCCATCAAATTAAAATATTTTATTCAATTGTAGATACAAAAACCATTTAAATCCAACATTTCCTTATGAAGTTACAAGCCTTTAAACACACATCTGTTAAGAGAAATATTTGAGAAATCAGCCTTCAAAGTTTATGATTTTGGCATTTCTCAGGCAGAAACCATCACCAAATCATTAAAAATTGTTGTTTTAATATTGAAAATGGGGAAAATAACGGCATAGCATGATGTATAGATATACAAAGGTTAGTTTTAGTGTAATAAAATAGATTTCAAAAACTATTGACGTTCCAGCAAGTTAGGTCATTATCTCTAAAACATGATTTGCAACGAGTCTCTACAAGATTTTATCCTACTGCATAAGGATCTTTGTCATATTGTTTGATGGATTCCTATTACTCAGGTCATCTGTGTTTTGCAGGTGATGTGTAGGTGGAGTATGTGTGGCCTACTTTTTATTACATCTGTCATGATGTCGCAGTTCATTGACTCAAAGTAAATTTGCACGGGAAATCAGTGAAGGGAACAAAAAATGCTCTCAGCCGTGCATTGTACTTCGTTCATTAAATAGAACCATTAATTTTGTCATGTGACCTATAATCAACCAATCAAATATAAATGATTTAAAAATTGTATATTTAAACATAATGTTTAATTTTAGCAGCAAGTCGAGGTTGAAATTTGGGACATATGTATTGATAAGAATGATAAACATGATATTTATGATAATACAATTGCATTTAAGTGTATTTCCAGTTTAACCAAGTACCGGTAGGCATTTTTGCTCGAAGCCCTTTTAATATCTTGCACACTTTGAGTGCTTTGATACGTTGCTATACCGCTGTATAAATCCAAATACATCACCTTACATTTCCAAACTTAATTCGATAAGAATAGTAATAAAACTTAAAACTAAATAAATAAAAAGATATCTATTGATTTTTATTTTCAAATGATCTTTTAACTATCCCTTATTTTCCAAAATTTTTCATTTGGTTTTTCCTACTATTAATTCCCATTTAAATATATTGAACAATATTTTTAAATATATAATTTACAAACACTGAACGTAAATGCAAAAAGAATTAAAGACATGTTTGTATTTAATTGGACTATGTGGTGTATTTATACCAATGCTTGACATTCCTTCAATTGAAGAATTTTTTTTTTATGAATAATAACATTTTCATGTGTGTTGGTTATAGATGGGATAGGTTACAGTATTGGCACCAGCAGTATTTGCCCGACGTGGAACCCAAGGTCCCTGAATAAAGAAAGTAGGCGTGGTCAGACGTCGCTCAAAATCTCTTAACTTTTTCCGGGGGTAAAGCCCCCCAAAAATATGATAGTTTTGGGGTTATCAAAGGTTTATTTAATCGATTTTTGGGTCTACAATATGTAGAAAATACATATACATATTTTTGTTTTCCCAGACAAATTGTTTGTTTTGTCTCCGACGGTGAGGAGAGGGGGAGTTCTCCCCGACGGGGGACACTCCCCCCACCACCTTCCCCTTGCTGGCACCACCACTGCCAGGTCATGTTATAGATACAAATTATATTTAATTGTGAGCTTTAAAGATAATTTTTTGTTTCTTGCAGTGCTGTGGAAAGTATCTTAGAGACAATTGCAAATATTAAACCCTTCTGGAAATGTCTGCAGTTTCAAGGTATGTGTATTTTTATCTGATAATTACATTTTTATTAAGCACCCCATCACCATACTTAAAGGTTATATTTTATGCCAATATTACACTAAACTCTATTAAAGTTAATTGTGAAATTTCCATTAATTTTAAATGATTGCATCACCTCTTTATGTCAATGATCCTACATACACCTACATTCTGATGTCACTGAATGTTATTAAAATTAAATTAAAATTGCATTAAACTGTATTAAAGTTAATTGTGAAATTGCCATTAATTTAAATGTTTATCCCATGTATATTTGTCAGTGATGAAATGATTCATAATTAGCAAGCATTTGAACAAGAAGAAAGCATAATATAATGAAAAGGAAAAAAAATGCCCATATGAAAGTATCCTATTAGACATTTAAATTTACATTTAAGTTAAATTTTATTATTTTTATTTAACTTTTTTTCTATATGAAGTATCATGTCAAAGTATCCTATTAAACATTTAAATTTACAAGTAAGTTAAAGTTTATTATATTTATTTATTTTATAGGTTTTTTTATAGAAGAAAAAAACACATGCATTTTTAAATATATCAGAACATTTTTTTGCATATACATACAATTTGATGTCACTGTAGGCATCTGAACATATGTTTACATAGATGTGACATGAAGTTTGTTGACATTTTCAGCTATCATGATGATTATTGGCTCACTATAAATTTAAGCATGGGTGCAGTTACTGTCTCTATGATAATATTTTCATACATTTGGTTTTCATTTATATATTTTTTAAGGGTCTATCAAAGATGATGCAAATTTTTCAGAGGAGAAGCCCACATCTGGTAGTGATATGAATCCAGAGCCTGTAAGCACATTAGCCAACATGATGGCAGAAATCAAACTTGCAGTTCCGGAGCATAGGTAAGACTAGTAATGGCAGTATAGCTGGGCACGCATTCACTGAACCCGACAGCCGTGACGAGACATGCACAGCAGATCATTTTTGTCGTTGCATGGTCATATGACGATATATTATTTGTTTTTATTGACTAATCAATTGTATCTTAAGTATATAACCTGTTGTTTTAACACCATTCAACTTTATTATTGTATTTAAAGTTTGAACCTTGGAAAAGAATTTCATGTAAACCTTTTTTACTGGACAAGTAAACAAAAACTTGATCTTGAGTATTACAATGGTCCTGTCGAGTGGATTTGAATCTTGGTGGTTAAGATGCTTGTCTGGCATAGTTCATGTGTTAAACAGGTTATTTTTCCCACAACTAAAAACAATTTCTTTTCCTGCCTTGTCTTGTCTAATGCCCAACAACCTTTCCACTTCTTTAAACTCTGTCCAGACTCATGATGCTCCTATATATGGTCATGTGTGATGTCATCATGACCATATTTAGGCATATCGCTTTTA